ATATATATGAATGCTTTGTCTCCATGTATGTGCATGCACCAAATGCACACCTGATGTCTGAAGAGATCAGAAGAAGGCATTGATTCCCCAGGGACTGGCATTACAAATGTTTGGGAGCCACCATGTGAGCGCTGGGAACTGAAGCCAGGTCCTCTGTGAAAGCAGCAAGTACTCTAAACCACTGAGCCATCCCTCTAGCCCCCAAATTCCTATAAAGCTTGTTTTAATAATTCATGGTTTGGGGCTTATGAGATGACTCTGTAAAGGCACCTGCTGAGCAAGTCTGGTGGCCAGAATCCTTGACCTCTTGTAAAAGTCAAGGAAGTGGAAGGAGAAGCAAACTCCAAAAGTTATCTTTGGCCAAGGGGTGGTGGCTCACACCTTTAATCTCAGCACTAGGGAGGCAGAGGCAAGTAGATCTCTGTGAGTTCAAAGCCAGCCTGGTCTACAAGAGCTAGTTCCAGGACAGACTCCAAGGGTACAGAGAAAGCCTGTCTTGAAAACAAAACAAGTTGTATTTGACCTCCACATGTGCATCCCTCATCACTAACACACATCGAGACTTTTTTTTTTTTTTTTTTTTTTTTTTTAGGGGAGGCACTGAGACAGAGTTTTCCTGTTACAGCCTTGGCTGTCCTGGAATGCTCTCTGTAGACTAGGCTGGCCTTGAACTCAGAGATACCCCTGCCTCTGCCTTCTGAGTGCTGGGATTAGAAGCATATGCCACCACGACCTGGCAACAATAATTTTCTTTTAAGAACTGACACAAAATTTTAAAAAATCTTTAAGAAATTCTAATTGGACCTGGAAAGATTGCTTAGTGGTTAGGGGCAGGCACTGCTCTTTCTGAGGACCCGAGTGCAGTCCCCAGCTCCCTGATCCACAGCTCACGACCACCGGTAACTCCAGCTCAGGGATTCAACACCCTCACTGCTCTCGCAGGAGACCTGGATTCAGTTCCCAGCTCCCGCATGGTAGCTCACAAGCCCTGCAATCAGTTTCAGATCTGATGCCCTCTTCTGACTTCTGTAGGTGTCAGGCGCACATGTGGTCCACAACATACGTGCAGGTAAAACACTGGCACAAAACAAAAATCATTCTTTAAAAAGGTGTCTGAGACAGCCTATGAGGCGGTGGCTGTAGGAAGATGTCCCAGGAGTCTCTCTTCCTGTCACTCCTCCTAGACACTAGCAGAATCACGTGATAACACACCTTTCTGAGTTCCTTATACCTACGCCGTATAGGAAGCAACTTTCTTTGGTCACTTTAATAACTGGGGTCTTGCTGAGCTCATGCACATTTTAGGGCCTGCCAAGTACTGCGTATGCTCTTCTGACACCTCCACTTCATAAGGTGAAGCATTTACGGAAACTGTTAGTGTCCTTGTACAGAGCGAGCCTAGACTTCTTGGAAAAAGCGACTTGCTCCCGAAGAGGCACACAAGCCCACACATCTAGGGTTTACTCAGGGGAGTCCAAGGCGGTGCCTGCTATAGGCAACTATCACGAGTCCTCAAAGAGGGCCAGCAACAATGGCCTCCCCACCACATTAGTGAGAAGGCACTGGTCACTGTTAATTTCCACTACCTTAGGGGACCATCGTTATTACAGCAGCTCCTAGCAAACAGTCCGGGCAGTAACCGGCAACATAAAGAACAAATGGGTGAGGTTCGTGGTGTTGCCAGGACAGGTACTAAGATATGGTGACAACGGAAGACAGCGTATGGGGGGTCACTGAAAAGATCAAGTCCTAATGAGAGGATGGGGAGAGAACTCAGGGAACCAGAACAGCACCTCTCAAATGCCCGCCAGGACCTGGACAGGGACAGGCACATCACCAACACTTCTAAAGTCAGGAGCGGCATTCCTCACCTGACTCGTGTATTAGACATGAAATGAGTGCATACCTCACATTAGAATCATCACCCAGCAATGTAAGCGGATCAAATGCCCCCTTATAAACACACATATGTAAGCTAAGTGGGCACCCCCCTTGCTACACCAGGCCTCCTCAGAGCAGAACGGATTGGGACTCAGAGAGGGCGAGCAAGCACAGGCGACTCCTGACCTGCAGGATAAGGACGAAGTAGTCTACAGGTTTGTTGCGCTGGTAGAGGTAGCACTCGGGGCTTTTCTTGTTCTTCTCATCATACTTCAGCTCCTGGATGACATTGGGGTGCTTTAGCAGCCTTAGGAGGATCTTCTCTGACATCTGGGATGGGCTAAACGCTTCTACTTCTATAGACATAAACACAACTTGACATTACACTTCAAAGAAGGGCAGTTGAGGTGCTCAGATCGGAAGAACACTTGGAGACAACGATACAACACAGATGAACCAGACTTCCATTTGGTGATCCACTGGGTCAGGTTACCTGGGAGAAATTACAGCAGTGGTATACTCATGTCTGGCCCTTTTAATCTTTCCTTTCCAGCCTGCCATCGGCTTCTGTCTCGTGCGAGTGCCCTACATCTCTGATTGATGGGAATGGGATTCAGTCATCAGCAGACTCCCTCCTTGAGAGCCAGGACACCCTTAAACACAAACCACAACAGCCTGACTGTTCGCCAACAGCCAAGGGAGGAACCACGGTCAGGAAGCATTGAGGGCGGGGCGGGGTTAGTGCCAACGCACAGACCTGGGTCCCACCTCCTGCTCTCCCACACCACTCTCCTGAGAATTCCAGGGACCGCCAGGAGAGAATCAGAATAAAAGCAAGGCCGTGCACACATCAACATGCACTCCGACTGGCCAACAGAGAAGGGAACGGTGCTCGGTACTGACAAAGACAGTTACTTCATTTAAAACAACAAAAAACTCAAAGCGGCTGACTCCAGGGTGCGATCATAAATGTGGACTTCGTGGTCTCTCAGAGGCAGAGTAGGATAACACAGTTTTAAGTGTGGTTCTTCCACAATGAACAACAACAGTACCAGAATAGGAAGAGAATTATAGCAAAATATTGTTTAACTTATTTTTTGAATTAGGTGCTATAAACAAAAGCTACAAATTCTGGATTCACGTTTGTGACTTTTTCATAGTTAAGACAGTACATTGCAGGGAATTTGGAAAATACAGAAAAATTAAGAAAATAAAAGTCCTCTGTAAGTTGACTGCTTAGATAGCCATTCCGAGCAATTTGGTGAGTATTTCTTTCTAGTGCTTTGCCTAGGCACATGTGCCTGCGTACGTATGTGTATGTGTACACACAGAGCCATAAGTGTGGTCATGGCAGACACATACTCCAGTATCTAGGGGGTTTCTACTAAACAGGAAGTCATGGACACTTTCCATGTGTCTGACAGTGGGTGACATCCTGCCACGTGTGGCTGCTGACCTTGTAGGGCACTTGTATAAACACTGCACGTGGTTGAAACTTACTGGCCCATCTTGGAAACAGATGTCTTCTGTAAGCCTCTGGGAGCTTCCAGATTTTTCTCACATTTCCTTGGCCAACAGAGCTCACCCTTCACCTTAGAGGGCCATTTAGGGATGTGAGAGAATTAGTCTCTTAGGTCTTTCAACCTTGACCACTTGGAAGCAGTCAGTGCTGGCTGGACGGTGGCTTTAACCATGTGAACACTTGCCTCTGGATGGGGCCCAATTAACAATCTGACTTGAAGAAGCCACCAAGACATTCAGGCCAAGCTCGTAAAATCTTTCATTTCATCAAAATGGTAAAAGATAAGGATTTAATTCTGCATGTCTGTTTTCTTCTTTGAGTCTTAGCGCCTGCGTTACCACTGGTGTCCAACTGTTCTTCCAAGGCAAGCTGAAGAGAGAATTACTCAACTGTCCAATCAAACAAGGTGGCGCCTGGTTTGCACTGTCAGCCTACTCCGCCAGCGGGCTCGCGCGTGGGGCTGAGCTGGCGGGAGATCACCTGGCCTACCGTACACATGCAGTGTGGCACTAACATTCATCCTTACCTTTCAGACCAATTTTAAGTTACTGGTCCACCCCTGGCAAATGTCTCAGAGGGTTCATGCCGACACTGAACACAGGAGAGGAGAGAATTTAAAGAGAACAAAACAAAACAGAACAAAAACAAAAACAAAAAAACAAAACACAAAGTGGCATTACTTGTCACCCCATTTCCCAGCCCCCACCCCCAGCCCCCCAGTCAGCTTGGTGAGGAAGGCTCCAGGGCCTGCAGATCTCACTGTGATAAGCGCACTTGCCTGTTGCTAGGAAACGGTGCATGGCCAGGAGAAGCTGCGGTGATATTTTAACCTTCATCTCGCTGTCCGTCTGCTTAAAGGCAGAGAAATCTTGCTTTCTTTCACGGTGGGCCACTTTCTTTTTCGTTCTGTTGTCAGCTGAGAGGGGAATGAGGAAAGGAAAAAACAAAATTAGGGCTCTTTCTCGACGAAAGACACAAAACACACTGTTTTGATCTCTCCAGGGACCAGTGGACTGGGCAGAGAGCACAGCCCTGGATCAGCAATGTCACAGCAGGAGACTGGACAGCCTTAGAGAGCACCCACAAGACACGACTGAGCAGACAGGACGAACCCCACAAGCAGCACACAGAATCACATAGCGGCAGACTGGCTTCAAATGCTACCAAAACCACTCCAGGGGAAGAACTGCCACAAGCTACACCTGCGGGAAGCTGTCTGCCTCCCTCATAGAGGGCCTCTCAGTCTCCTCAGTCCCAGGTGAAGACAATAAACACAGAGGAGATTTCTCAAGAAGAACAAGTCTCCTTCCAGGAATGCCCTGCTTCGTTCCTGCCCCAGACTATGAGACGGTCAAGGTCAGGCAACCACGGGGGTGATCCGGGGTGATCCGGGAGGAAAGAACCAGCCTCCTCTGGAAAAGGCCAGAGGGAATACTCAGGCTCCGGCTACTGTTGCCAACTCCACTGCGCTTTTCTGCAAAAGCAGCTGTGGTAACTGAACCCACACAGTCACACTGTACAGAAACTTCACTCTTGTTCATTTCTCCATGTCACAGAGTAATTACTCTTCTGTTGTGTGTTTTTTCCCTCAGTCACCAAACATCATGAAAAGCCATTCTTGCCTTGTTAGGACATAAGAAGCCAGGTGGCAGACATTAATGGGCTGTGGTTTGCCAGGCCCTGATCTAGAAGGGATCTCCTACAAAGCTGGTTTTCTTTGTTTTTGTTCTTTTTTAAAGAATAAAGTGCTGATAAAGAAAAACTCGATGTAACAAGACCCCAGCTGTGTATAACAGCACTTACCTGTAATTTCAGCACTCAGAAGGCTAAGGAAGGAGAATTATATGGTCAAAGCTAGCCTAGGCTATAGTATGAAACTCCATCTCAAACACCACTACTACCCACCTCAAAAGGAGGAGGAAGAAGAGGAGGAGGAGGAGGAGGAGGGGAGGAAAGGAAGAAAGGAAAGAAACAAGAACAATAAATGAAGGACAAGGCCCCAGCTGCTGTCTCTGTCCCCAAGGCTCTGAGTTCTGTTGTTTCTGTCCCCAAGGCTCTGAGTTACCGCCTCTTGTCCAGGGTAAATGTCAATGGCTAGGCCTTCTGTAGGCTTCTACACTTCTACCTCAAGGTATTTTGAAAATCGGAAAGTGTAAATCAATATGAAGCTTAAAAATGATCTCTACTGGCAGCTAGCTGTTATCAGGACTGACCTGTCACCTAGATTGAGATAGCACTAAAGACACAAGCTCAGCATTCCATACCAACAGGTCATGCAACCCTTCTCCATGGAATGGGTCCCCTCACTGGGGGTTTAGTAACATTTAGTAACATTTCCATAAAAATATCTAAGATTTCATAACCATTTATATTGTCTTCCCAGTGGTAAGTGATACCCCAGGGAAAGCAGAATATATAGATATACACTGGATCTGAATGAAGAGAGGCCAGTGACGCGGCTCAGCGGGTAAAGTCCCAAAGTTTAGCAAACTTGAGTTGGAGCTCGGAACCCACGTAAGGCAAGGATAGGAAAGCCACGCCATGTCTGCGCTCTGCGAACTTGATACATGCACTGCTGCACTTCTGGGCTCACTTACGTTGTAAAAGGATGAAAAGAACATGGACAAGCACAGCACTCTCTACTAGGAAGCCTCTGTCTTCCAATATAAAAACATAGACAAGAATGCTATACAGATGTGAAGGGGACAGGACACATTTTTCAGAGACAATTCGTAGCAATTTAAAAGTCTTCCTTTCATTAGGTGCTACAAAACCTTGGCGATTTGAAAATGTGCAATGTTCCCTTGTAAAAAGACTAGACAAAATCACTATACAGAGATAAAAATAATGACATCTTGAAAACTGCGGGCAAATGGATGGATCTAGAAAACATCACACTGAGTGAGGTAACCCACACCCAGGAAGACAAATTTCACATGAACTCACTCATAAGTGGCTTTTAGACATAAAGCAAAGAAAAAACAGCCTACAATTCACAATCCCAGAGAACCTAGACAACAATGAGGACCCTAAGAGAGACAAACATGGATCTAATCTACATGGGAAGTAGAAAAAGACAAGACCTGAGTAAATTGGGAGTGTAGGGATCACGGGAGAGGGTAGAAGGGGAGACGGGAGGAAGAGAAGGGAGTGGAGAAAAATGTACAGCTCAATAAAATAATAAAAGAAACCCACTCTCTTTTTGAGCAAGGCAAGTTTTTCCTGGATGCTGCAGGGCACCAGGATAGCACAAGTCCTATGGTACGGGCTCTGTTTCAAAGCTGAGAGGATACTCAGGGGCCATGTACTCCATGCCTATCCAGGAGCTTTGGGCCCTCCTTGGCATTCTTAACCTTTCAAAGAGCCCCATATGGGGATGGAGAGATGCCTCCGTGATTAAAAGCACTGGCTGCTCTTCCAGAGGACCCAGGTTCAATTCCCAGCACCAACATGGCAGCTCACAACCATCTGTAGCTCCAGTCCCAGATGGTCTGATGCCCTCTTCTGGTATTCTTGGATACTGCGTGCCTGGATACATGTGTGCAGGTATATACAAAAGAAACAAATTTTAAAAAGGAAAAGCCTCATATGATAAAAGTGGGGCTGAGGGCGGAGCCTGAAGATCCCTGGTGCAGGGAGCGCATTGTACATACACACCAATGAGACAAGCTGCAGGTCCAATACTCGGGGCAAATTCACACCTGCGTCTGCCCCCGCCCGACCTAAATACTTACCATTCCCACCTGCCCTTCAAAAGAAGGCTATGAAGGCAAACAAGAAATCTATATTCTCCATGTGTAGGGGGGTAGGCACCTGTGCATGCATCTGTGGAGGGCAGAGGTCAACACTTGAATGCCGCCTGTCTTATTTATTATCTTGGAAAAGGGATATCTTACTGACCCTACAGCTCATCAACTGGCTTGAGGAGTCACCTCCCCCATAACACTATTTTTGAGTCTCTGGCTTCCAGCACTGAATCACTGGTGTACAACCACCCCCAGCTTTTCTGTGGGTGCTCACGTTTGCACAGCCCTCATCCCACCACAAATTTAGTTGAAAGCACTTTGCCTAGCTGTGTAACATAAACCAGCATAGATGGATGTACTAGTGTCTGAAAGCCGAAAGCAGTTTCTGTCTCGGGTGTGGACTCACGGCCAGGAGAAGATGCCTCCGGAAGAGAAACCCCACTCAATGCCACTCAATCTGCCTCTTCTTCCACTTTGGTAAAAGCGCTAGGCGACGCTAAGAGGCAGCACGAACTGGCACACAAACAGAGGGCCCAACACTGGGGAGTGTGTAAACAGCAGCGGGCAGCAGCAAAGGTCACACACACACACACACACACACACACACACACACACACACAGTTACTTACTGTACAGGTCTGTCTCATCCAAGATTTCAGATTTGATGATTTCTTCAATCACATCTTCCAAGGTGACAATTCCCAGAACTTCATAAAACGGGTCCCCTTCACCCTCATTGTTCACTCGCTGCACAATGGCCAGGTGAGATTTACCTTTAAAGACAGAAGACAAAGTTGCAGAGGTCACTTTACAGTCCTTAGCAGGCTCCTTAGACACCTTAGAAATGGCCGCAAACATTTCTTCTCTTTCTGTGCGGGGAGCAATCTTGGGCCTTGTTTGCTCCACCATTCTTCCAGGTCAAACCAGTTGTCTTTCTCATCACTCCCCACATTATTTTTTTTTTTTTGGCCTCAGGTATTTATTTATTTATTTATTAAAGATTTCTGTCTCTTCCCCGCCGCCGCCTCCCATTTCCCTCCCTCTCCCCCAATCAAGTGCCCCTCCCTCGTCAGCCCAAAGAGCAATAAGGGTTCCCTGCCCTGTGGGAAGTCCAAGGACCACCCCCACCTCCATCCAGGTCTAGTAAGGTGAGCATCCAAACTGCTTAGGCTCCCACAAAGCCAGTACATGCAGTAGGCTCAAAAACCCATTGCCATTGTTCTTGAGTTCTCAGTAGTCCTCATTGTCCGCTATGTTCAGCGAGTCCGGTTTTATCCCAGGCTTTTTCAGACCCAGGCCAGCTGGCCTTGGTGAGTTCCCGATAGAACATCCCCATTGTCTCAGTGTGTGGGTGCACCCCTAGAGGTCCTGAGTTCCTTGCTCATGCTCTCTCTCCTTCTGCTCCTGATTTTCCCCACATTATTTTTGACACAGTTTCTAGCTGATTCTCCAGGTTGGCTGACCAGTGATGGACCCTGGACCCTTCCTCCTGCCTCCACCTTCCCAGCTGGAGTTAGAAAGCACACATTGCTGCACCTGGCGTTCTCTTTCATTTGCATGTGTACATATGTATGGTATGTGTATGTGCACCTGCTTGCATGTGTGTGGGCTCATATGTGTGTGGAGACCTGAAGCTGGCATCAGGTAGCCTCTCCCATCGCTCTTCACTTTACTGTGGCAAGGTCTCCCACTAAGGCCTGACCTCACAGAATCTGGCTCAGCTAGACAGCCAGCTTACCCCAGGGTTCCTGTCTCTGCCTCTGGAAGTCACCACGCCTGCCCAACTTTTAGATAAGCTCTGAGGATCTGAACTCCAGTCTTCATGATGATGTGGCAAACACTTCCTCTGCTCGGCCATCTCCCTATCCCTCGTGCTTTTTATATGGGTGCTGTGGGTTCAAACTCAGACGCCAGTGTTTGTGTGGAGCTATCTTCTACAGCCCCTGGAAGCATTTTTAAAATCAGATAATTATAAAAGTCTGTTTCAGCATTTTTAACATGTGTCAGTCTGACAACCAAACGGACGAGGCTTCCTGAGCCATTAACACAGGGATAAATTGTCCACGGGCTGCCTCGTACCTAGCTCTTTGCTTCCTAATGGAAGAGGCTTAGATACCATCAGCTCTTTCTCTGTGACACATTGACAGTTCTCTCAAAAGGAGCGAGAACACTATGGATCTCCAGGGAGGTCCAAAACAAGACCCTTGAGGCAGTGCTGTGTCCCCCAAGTTCTAAGATGTGAATGGCCTTCTCCACGGTGCTGATTCTGGAGCACAGTGCAAAGAGCCCACTCATCTCAGAATGCCACCACAGAAACAACAGCCATCACCACCCATCGGCACCACCCACAGTAGGAGGGAGACCCCGTCTCCAAGAACGTCCTCACCACAGCAGTACGAAGTAGATCCTTACACCAAAAGTGGGACCTGAGACACACAGTGCAGTCTAATGTAACAACCGCTGTCTTGAGAGAAAGGCAATTATGGGGCTTGCTGTGAGCTGCCTTCAACACACTTCACCTTTGTGGTGCTGGGAAGGAACCCATGACCTCAGACATGCCAGGCGAAGGCTTTACCACTGAGCATGCGTCCACCCAGGCCATGTGGACAGAATGATGGCACCAAACTGCAGCTTAGACAAGGGTCTCTCGTAGACACTGTGAAGGGTATCAACAGAGTGGACTTATTTTGTCAAGAAAAGTCATGGGAAGAATTTGATGTTAATGATTTAAAAAATTGTAAATTCAGTAGAAAATTATAATTCTAAGAAACTCACATCCATCGTCATGACTTTTGTTGTTGTTGTTTGTTTGTTTGTTTGTTTGTTTCAAGACAGGGTTTCTCTGTGTTACAGCTCTGGCTGTCTTGGAACTCACTTTGTAGACCAGGCTGGCCTCGAACTCAGAGATCCGCCTGCCTCTGCCTTCCAAGTGCTGGGATTAAAGTCATGCACCACCACCACAAGGCTCACCATCATGACTTTGATAGCTTCTTAGTAAAGGCTTTTGTGTACAATAAGTATGTGTATACATGTGCGTACGAGATATGAGTGTGGCTGAGGAGGCCAAATGTGTCTTCTTCATTGATACTTTCCTACTGTTTGAGACGGGTCTCACTGAGCCTGAAGCTCACCAACTGGCTAGACTACTGGCCTGTCAGCCCTTAGAGCAGGGCTGGTATTACAGGCATGTACTGCCATGCCCTGCTTCCTAGGTGAGCGCTGGAGATCCAGGTCCAGGGCTTCATCATCTCCCAACAAGCATTTTAGCCAGCAGGCCATTTCCTGAGTCATTCAGTAAATGCTTCTTTGATGAGCTGGATGGTCACAGTAATGAATGCAACCTTTAAAATAGTGAGCAATCTTTTAAAAGATTTATTTTAAAAGACCTATAAAATTGGGTGAGCCAATTCTTTTTAGATTATGTTTTTATTTTATGTATTGGATGCTTTGCCTGCATGTATGTCTGTGTATCGTATATGCCTGGTACCCATGAAGGTCAGAAAAGGATGTTGGGCCCCTGGGACTGGAGCTGTGAGTCACCACTGTGGGAACTGAACTCCAGGTGGGTCCTCTGGAAGAGCAGCCAGTGTTCTTAACTGCTAAGCCATTTCTCCAGCCCTGCTCATTTTTCTGACTATGGCAATAATGTGACAATTATGCATGGATAAAAAAAATCCTGAGAATAAAGCAATGGATCTTTAAAATTTTTAATTTTAAATCATGTGTATATGAGGTTAATTTATGTGGGTCCATGCATGTGAGTGCAGGTGCCTGTGGAAACCAGAAGGAGACATCAGAACCCCTAGAGTTACAGGCAGGTTGTGCAGCCAACAAGGGTGCCAGGAAGTGACGTGGAGTCCTCTAGAAGAACATGGTATGCTCGTTACTACTCAACCATCATCTTCCTGGCCCCACAACAGACTTTAGACAGAAACATCAACAGATGAGTAAGGACCGAGGTAGGTGGAATGCCACAAACAAAAAGCAACCTAGGGCCACTGAGGTGGCTCAGCAGCTACAAATGCTTGCCATACAAGTACCGTGGTAGAGAGAACTGGTTTCTCTGACCTCTACACATGCACGCACACACCTGCGCTTTCTCCCTGCACACACGTGCAAGTACAAATAAAATTTAAACAAACCAAAACCAAAATAGGAAACAACTTTGGACTTACAGAAAAGTCACAAATCCCCTACAGAGAATTCCTAGACTCTTCCTGGGCTCCCCACTGTCACGCCTTGCATTGTCATGGCACCGCTGTCAAACTAAGACACTGCCACCGACTGTCTCAACTCCAGACTCTTTGTTTGGACTGCAATGATTTTTCTAAAAAACATCTTTTTTCTTCTTCACTGTCCAGCACCCCACTGTCCAACTTGCCATGGCTCCCCAGTCTCCTACGGCCTACAGCACCCACAGCAGCTGCTTAGTCTGTCTCATGACTTCGAGCACCTTGAGGCTCGCTGCTCAGATCCCTCCAGGCAGCAGTCCTATCCCACCTCCCAGAGAGGCACAAGTCGGCTCTGTGTGGACTGGCTGCAGAGGGGATATTCCTCCTCTAATACAGTCCTCAAAATTCTGCAGATTCCAAGCAAAAGAGTGTGACTGGCAGAGCATCCAAAGTCCATCGGCAGGACTTCAGGTCTACGGCGTGGACAACCTGGAAGAAACTTCTGCTGGGCAGGGGGTCATGTGCGTGCCCTTTAATCCCAGCACTCAGGGGAATCTCTGTGAGTTTAAAGCCAGCTTGGTCTAACAAAGCAAGCTTTAGGACAGCCAAGGCTGAATAGAGACCTTGTCTCCAAAGAGAAGAAATAAAACACTTGCTGGGCTACTAGGAAGCGGCTCCGTCGATGAAGGGCCTACCCCACCAGCACGGGGATCAGAACATGGATCCAGAACCCACGGCTCTGTCGATGAAGGGCCTACCCCACCAGCACGGGGATCAGAACATGGATCCAGAACCCACGGCTCCGTCGATGAAGGGCCTACCCCACCAGCACGGGGATCAGAACGTGGATCTCGCACGTGTCTGCAGTGCTGTTTGGGGCAGCAGAGACAGGCAGGCCCCTACACTCACTGGCTTCCTGGTCTGGGGAACTGACAAGCTTGAGGACCATGAGACTATATATGTAAACTGATTGAAGAAAGAGACCCAAAGTCTACCTCTGGCCTCCACACAGACAAACACATACACTAACAAGTACATACAGCACACACAAACCCCACGCTCAGCAAAATGGAGTTTGGGTGTAATGTCGAGTATTTCCCAAATACTTTCTGTGCTCATATACTCCAGCAGACGCAGCACTGCCGAGTGAAGGCAGAAGAACGAGTCCAGATCCTCACACCCAGCTGGACTCGTAACAGACACAAGAACATCTGAATATGACATCATTCCTAGTTTTCTGTTTTGGGAAACAGCTATATTAAAAAAAATGTGATTATGTTAACACACAATAAAGGATTTATTACTGGCCTTTAAAATGGCTTGACAGGTAAATGTTTTAAGTTTCATGGTTTTAAATTCGCATACAATAACTATTAAAAGTTATAATCCATATAACAGAAGTTTAATTGTTTTTTTCTTTTTTTTTTTTGAGACAGGGTTTCTTGGTATAGCTTTGGGGCATGTCTTGGAACTAGCTCTCGTAGACCAGGCTGGCGTCGAACTCACAGAGATCCGCCTGCCTCTGCCTCCAGAGCAGGGATTAAAGGTGTGTGCCACTACCGCCAGGCTAATGTTTTTTTTAATTAGTTATTTGTGTGTGT